AGAAAGGCCTCAAGGAGAAGGTACCTTTTGAGGTGAGGGACCAAGCCATGCAGATATCTGAGGGAGGAAGTGGTTCAGACAGCGCGAAGAACAAGCACAAAGGCCCTAAGGTGTGACTGTGCCTGTTTCAAGAACAGCAAGAGGCCCGGTGTGGCGGCTCATGCCCATAATCCCTGGACTTTGGGAAGCTGAGTTGGGAGGATTGCTTAAGGCCAAGAGTTTGAGACCAGCCTGAGCAACATAGCAAGGCACCATCTCCACAAAAAACTTAAAAATAAAAATTATCCATGGTGCACCTGTAGTCCCGGCTAGCCAGGAGGCTGAGGCGAGAGGATCACTTGAGCCCTGGAGTTCAAGGCTACAGTGAGTTATGATTACACACCTGAACTTCAGTCTAGGTAACGAAGCAAGACCCTGTCTCAAAAATAAACAACAACAACAACAAAAAAGCAAGAAGCTGAATGGAGAGGAGGAGTAATCAGACATGAGGTCAGAGAGGCAAAGCGGGCAGGGGAGTAGGGGGTTGGGTGTGTAGGGCCTGGCAGACCCTGTAAAGAAAATAGCTTTATTCTGAGTGAGTGAAGTGATTGGAGAGTTTTGAGCAGAGGAGTAACACAGTCTAACTCATATTTTAGTAGACTCACTTTGGCTGCTGGGTAGAGAAATGGCGACGCAAGAGTTGACATTGGCTTGGACTAGAATATTAACAGTGGGAATGAGAAGAGAAGTGGTCAGTTTCCTGGTATATAGATTTTGAAAATAGAGTCAATAGGTTTAAGGACAGAAGGGATGTAGAGTATGAGAAAAAGAGAAGAGTCAACAATGTCTTCAAGGATTTGGGCCTGAAAACTGAAAGAATAGAGTTGCAAAACTCAGTTCTATCCAGAGGGCGAAGGCTTGGAGGGAAGATCAGGTCAATTCTGGACATTCTGAGTTTAAGGTACTCATCAGACATTGAAAGTACAAGTCTGGCCGGGCATGGTGGCTCAAGCCTGTAATCCCAGCACGTTGGGAGACCAAGGTGAGAGGATTGCCTGAGTCCAGGGGTTTGAGACCAGCCTGGGCAACTTGGTGAGACCTTGTCTCTACAATAAATCAAAAAATTAGCTGGGTGTGATGGCGCATGCCTGTAGTTCTAGCTACTTGGAAGGCTGAGGCAGAAAGATGGCTGGGTAGCATGGTAAGACTTTGTCTTTACAATAAATAAAAAAAATTAGCCAGGTGTGGTGGTGCACTCCTATAGTTTCAGTTACTTAGAAGGCTGAGGTGGAAGGATCACCTGAACTCAGGATGTCGAGGCTACGGTGGCCATGATCGTGCCACAGCATTCCAGCCTGGGTGTCAGAGTGAGACCCTGATTTAAAAAAAAAAAAGAAGAAGTTGAGAGATGAGGAGTAACCAACAGAGAAACAGAGAAGAAGCCGAGAGGAACATGGGAGCTCCAAGTCTTCTGAACTATATATTTACAGATAATTTCTCAGGGAGGGTCACTCCTGCTTATCACTATAGATACAATGGGCTATTATCTTCTTTGTGTTTGGTCATATTTTCAGGGCCCAGTTCAGAGTCAATCCTTTTAAGGTCAAAAGTCCCCATGACTAAAGTGTGAATGATTGACAGGTTTATTCTTCTCAAAGAGTACACAACAAAAGAAAAGTCATTTGAAAATGACCCTCTAGTCGATGGGGTATTGGAAGGAAAGGGGTCATTTTACAACAGAGGGAATTATCTGTATCCCTGGCATGCTGCAGCTCACTATAAAAATGATGGTGCCACCCTCATCAGCATCAGCCACTGGGAAGCCATTGCGAAGAAACAAGCTCTTAGGGAATCAGCCACATGCTTGAGCTATAAGGCCCTGGAGGCCTCACAGCGAGGGTGTTTGGGACCCAGGCACCTCCCATAATGCCTAAGCAGCTGTATACTGCCCCACCACTACGTGTTCCCCTTTCACCTAACCACCTAACCACTTCTCTGTATCCTTTGCAATTTCTTCTTTCTCTCAAGCTCCAGCCTAGTGCCCCAGCCTCCTTCCACAAATAATGCGAGGTCAGCAACACTGCAGAAATGGTGAATTCAGTTCTTTCCACCAAGGTCTTCATGGTTCCACGAGAAAAATGGTATGTCTATTTTCCTTTCGTTACCTACCAACACCAAATCTCCCCAGTTAGCAAACCAGAGAGTATAAAAGCAGGGCCTTTTCCCACTAGGGTTCCTCTTCCCAGATCTCTACACTCACAGCTCCCTCCTCAATTAAGGAAGGTGATGGGAAAATAACAATGGCACCAATAGGACAATGGGCAAAAGCACGGAGAGGAAACTCACAAAAGAAGAAACATGAATAGTCATTAAACAGATGAGAATAATCTTGGCCCTTACAACAAAACACAATTTAAAGCAACAATGAGAGATTTCATCTCTCAAAGTGCCAAGAATTCTACTATCAACAGCTGACTGGCGAGAGTAAGGACACAGACAGATGCTGCTGCCTGGAGCAGAAAGGCCCGCACTGCTTTCTGGAGGGTGATTTGGCAACACTTAAGGACCAAGACCTTTAAAACAAGTCTATCCTTTTACCCTTTGACTCAATGGTTTCACTTCTAGAATTTAGCCTGAGGAAATAATTAGACAGCCATGCAAATATGTATTTTCAAGAATATTTTACTACAGTGTGATTTATCATATGTTTAAAAAGTGAGACCATGGCCAGGCACTGGGCCTCATGCCTGTAATCCCAACACTTTGGGAAGCCAAGACGGGATAATTGCTTGAGCCCAGGAGCTCAAGACAGGCCTAGGCAACATAGCAAGACCTTGTTTCTACCAAAAAAAAATCATAAAAATAAGCCAGGCATGGTGGCATATGCCTGTAGTCCCAGCTACTCAGGAGGCTGAGGCAGAAGGATCACCTGAGCCCAGGAGGTTGAGGCTGCAATGAACCATTATCATACCACTGCACTCCAGCCTGAGTGGAAGAGTGAGACCTTGACTCAAAAAAACAAAAACAAAAAAAGTGAGACCCACTTAAACACACTACAATAGAAAATTGATTTAAATGAACTGGTATTCACTAAACAGTGGAATACCGGGCAACTATTATTAATGAAGGTAGCTCATGGGCTCCCTGATGTGATACATGAGAAGAATACAATATCACTTCTGTGGTACGCCTGCCAAAAAAATGCATAAACATCAGACATATCCAAATTTAAGAATAGACTACAAAATAACCAACCTGCATTTTTTTATGTTAATATAATTAAAATAAGTCTAAGAAAATGTACTCATATTAAAGGAAACAAAAAAAAACCCCTCAGAATAAAAAATTACATACTCATAATAGCCAAAAAAAAAAGGAAACTAAAGACTTGACAACTAAATGTAATACATGATCATCCTGGACCAAGGAAAAAATTTGTTATTAAGGACATTATGGGGCAATGACAAAATGTGAATATGGCCTGTAGATTAGATCACAGAATTATGTCAGTCTAAGTTTCCTGATTTTTATAATTGTATTGTGTAAAAGAATGTTTTCATTCTTAGAAAATTTACACTGGTGGGTTTAAGAGCATCTTGTGTGCAACTCACTCTCCAAAGGTTTAGAAAAAAATACCAATGTGTATTTATAGAGAAATAATGATAAAGCAAATGCAGTCAAGTGATATCAATTGGTGAATTCAAGTGAAGGGTATTCTGGAATTCTTTTTCATATTCTTGCCCCTTTTCTGTGAGTTTAGAATGATTTCAAAATTTTAAAAAATTAAAGGAAAAAAGAGTGGTGGTGTGAAGCTTATTCCTTGGCAGGAGAAAGGTGCTCAGGGGCACCAGCTGCCACAAGGGCCTCAACACTGAGTGCGCACAGCTGCTAGTGATGCCTCCCACCACCTTGGGCTCTCTGTTCTCTGTGCTATTAGGGGAACTCTGTGTGTGTTTGACCCCAAAGCTGTCCTGGGTTGACTCATGAAGGCAGATGAGCTTTTCAGAGCAATGAATTATCTTTTGTGATTTCATTTACTCCAGTTTTATATTCCAATGGCATTCCCTCCATCCCAAGAACCTCTGCAGATGGAGGAGTGAAAATTACCCAAATTTAGTGTTTGTTACTGATAATGCAGACTGCAAAATTTAGGGTAGATTATGTTCATTTAGCATTGACAATGACAGTCTTTTTCTTCTTCTTCTTCTTTTTTGAGTTGGAGTCTCACTCTGTTGCCCAGACTGGACGACCTGCTGGACTCCAAGGATCCTTCCGCCTCAGCCTTTTGAGTAGCTGGAATTGCAGGCACGCGCTACCATGCCCGGCTGATGTTTTGATTTATTGTAGAGATGAGGTCTCGGCAAGTTGCCCAGGCGGGTCTCGAACCCGTGGGCTCAGGCAATCCACTCACCTCAGCCTCCCAAAGCACGGGATTACAGGCTGAGCCACCAAGCACGGCTGACAATGACAGTCTTATATGTTCCTTCCCAAAGGAAAGCCATGATTTCCCCAAAGCCAGCCCAGCATCTTGCTCATTCTCAAGAAAGAGAAAAGTTCCAGCAAGAGCCAAGATAAGGCCCAGAATGCCCCTGGTCTCCCTTTGCCAAGGTGAGCGGCTCCAAATTATGACAAATTGCAGGTTCTCTGAAAAGTATCTAATGACCTGACGAATTAAGCATCCTCTTCTGGGAAAAGTAATGGAGAGACTCTAATAACCCCACAGATCCTGCTCCTCTTGGGGAACAGGGGCAGCCACCTTGCGATTCCCTTCCCTAGAAAGGAGAGACCATATCAATAAACAGAAAGGCTAGGACAGCCCCAAGGTTCCAAGAGTCAGCTCTCCCTTCCTATCACCTGCCCTCCGGGAACACTCTACCCACCCCCCACCGCCACCACTTCCCCAGGGGTTGTCAGGGACAGAAGGCCCCTCCCTCACCCCCCCCCCCCCCAGTGTTCCTCCACTCCTCCCCGCCCTCCATCACTAGGGTGTCCAAGACATTGTGTGACTCAGGAAACAGCTCAGACGTAAGGCTTGCAGCAGGCCAAGGAGGAGGAAGAAAGGGCAGTGGGAGCACAGGAGGTGTCTCCCACCTCAGTGAGAGCTCTGGGGGTCTCTGCCTGAAGAGGAACAGGGGTCTGAGCTCGGGGAAGGGGCTCTGGAATGCAGCCCCCTTCACTGCTGCTGCTGCTGCTGTCATTGCTGTGTTTCTCTACTGTTATGACCAGAGGTGAGGCACTGGGTGGGAGAGGTGGACGGACTCATCTGCCTTAGGAAGATTCCAGCAGGATGTGGGGGGTGGCAAAGCACAGGATGTTGAGGACACTGGATGGAGGAGATTCTCACCCCCCAAACAGAGACAGCCTGCAGGGAGAGACGACTCTGCCACTGGAGCTGCTTTGGGCCTGGTGCCAGGGGTGGTGACTGCGAAGGGGGGGGTGAGAGGGTGCCCACCCTCAAGGAGAGCTAGTCGGTGTGGAGCTAAGAGGGCTCTCACCACCACATTGAGCAGGGGAAGGGGGACCAGACTGACCACCTGCTAGGGAAAAAATTAAAGGGAAGCAGGAGATGGAGACATGGAAGTTCAAGGGCCTACGGGGTCCCTTTCCCAGTTCAGCTGTCTCCACCCGCCGGATAGCTTAATGCTGGGCCCTTCCGGGAGGAAATCCCTTTGAAATCTCAGCCATTCACCTCCTGGGAGCCCCCTCAGCCCCCCTCCTGATCCCTGTTGTCTTGCTTCCGAGGGATGGAGCCTGAGGCTGGACTTGGGAGGCCAGAGAATAAACAGGAAAGGGGGGGTGGGAACTGGTAACTGAGATGCCTGGGATGGAGGGGTCTGGGGAGCACGTGGGGACTGGGTACAAGGAAGAAGGAGATGGTGGCTTAGGCCATCTGTGGGGGCTGCTGCGAGCGGGTCTCTCACAAACACCTGGAGAAGGGAAGGTGGCGGTCCTGTGTCCTCAGCTCCCACCTCAGCCTCCCTCTCATCCCTAGGGCTGCTGTGCAGGAGTTCCTCAGAACCCTGTGCCAATGGAGGCACCTGCCTGAGCCTGTCTCAGGGGCAAGGGACCTGCCAGTGAGTGTGCCTTGTGGGAGTGGAAAACCAAAAAGAAACAGGGTGGGAGAGCAGGGGAGGGAGAGGTGACAAAGTGGGGCCAAAGGAGAAAGGGAAGAGGTGAGGGGAAACATGAAAACAGGAGAGGGAGGTGGGAGAGAAGGGAAGAGGGACCAGTGATGTGAGTTTTCCTCTCTCTTCCCCTCCCAGGTGTGCCCCTGGCTTCCTGGGTGAGACATGCCAGTTTCCTGACCCCTGCCTGGGGGCTCAGCTCTGCCAGAATGGGGGCAGCTGCAAAGCCCTACTTCCCGCCCCCCCTGGGTCCTCCAGCCCTCCCTCTCCATTGGCCCCCAGCTTCTTCTGCACCTGTCTCCCTGGCTTCACTGGTGATAGGTGCCAGACCTGGTTGGAAGACCCCTGTCCTTCCTCCTTCTGTTCCGAAAGGGGCCGCTGCCACATCCAGGCCTCAGGTCTCCGGCAGTGCTCCTGCATGCCTGGGTGGACAGGTGAGAGCTGATGGGGGTGGTAAGAGGGGACAGGCAGGAGCAACAGGCTAGGCTGTGGGGTGGGAAAGATGGAACTGGAGTCTGAGAGACTATGAGACTTTTGAGGACAGAAGCCATGAGAGTCAACATGCCAATTCTTGGGTACCCATTTATCAAGGATGACATTCACCAGCATGGTTGTACTGATTGCTAAAATGTTGAAATATTTCCAGATGAAGGGTGCCATGAGTCCCCTTTGTGCACCACCCTGATGCCTCTCCTGGCCTCTTCAACCTTCCCTTTACCCAGCAGTTAGAGGGTTATTGCCTGGCCTGCCAGGGACCTCAGGACTCTGCATTCTGAGCAACTGAATGGCCCCTAACTCTGAGTAGTGGGTGCCCATAGTGTCACCTGGAAAGATTGCAGTGGTAGGAAAGGTGATAGGGATGGGAGAAATGAGACTGTGAACCAGACAGAGGAGTGGGGTCCATCCCAGGAGGAGGGGTGTGACCCTGGAGCAAGCTTACTGCTTCAGATTAGGGACTCTGGGGCAGCCTCGGAATTCAAATGCCAGCTCTGCCACTGACCAGCTACATGACCTTGCAGAAGATATTTTAGTTTTCTGGGTTCTCGGTTGTCAGCTGACAGGGAGAGTAATGTGCACACTTGAAAGACTGTTGAGAGGACGAAAGGAGGTGATGCCCAGGAAGTGCTTGCTTAGCTCCTACCTGGCCATAGTACATGCACAGTGAATGGCGGCTACAGTCACCTCCACTCCTGCCATTGCCACAGTGCACAGGAGCTGTGAGTTGAGTCTCCAGGTGATTCAACCCACCTAGCAATTAGGAAATTAGGATCAGAGTGGTAAAGCGACTCACCCAAGGACATACAGCAAGCCAGGTGCAAACTTGAGTCTCCTGCCTGCAAATTCTGGGTCCTTTTAGCCTCCCCCAAGAAGGTCACCACAGAAGGGACCCGTGTCCCAGATTTTCCTAGGCGAGGCCAATCTGTAGTCCTCCCACTGTTAGACACATATCCTATTTTCAGCTTAGAAAATATGGTCACTCCAGATATAACCTTCTCAAAGCATGGCAAAATTGAATTCAGGAGTGATGGAACAGGACAAAGAGAGTATGGTAATAAGGGGAAGGAAATATGAAAATCAGACAAAGAGATAATCTGGAGGGAGTGCTGGTTGATTTTGGATAGGCTAGCATTTGTGCAGTGCTAGAAACAGTTCCTTCTGCCCTCTGCCTCAGGCGAGCAGTGCCAGCTTCGGGACTTCTGCTCGGCCAACCCCTGCATCAATGGAGGGGTATGTCTGGCCACATACCCCCAGATCCAGTGCCGCTGCCCACCTGGCTTCGAGGGCCATGCCTGCGAACATGATGTCAACGAGTGCTTCCTGGACCCAGCACCCTGCCCCAAAGGCACCTCCTGCCATAACACCCTGGGCTCCTTCCAGTGTCTCTGCCCTGCAGGGCGGGAAGGTCCACACTGTGAGCTGTGGGCAGGACCCTGCCCTGCCAGGGGCTGTCCAAATGGGGGCAGCTGCCAGCTGGTGCCAGGGAGAGACTCCACCTTTCACCTTTGCCTCTGCCCCCCAGGTGCGTCCTCACGGGGGCTTTCCTGCAGGACCTCTCTCTGGACAGGGCAGGTTGTCTCCCCTGGGTCCCTCTCCTTTCCCTAGCTGATCCCATGGCCCTGTCAGGTTTCACAGGCCCAGACTGTGAGGTGAATCCAGACAACTGTATCAGCCACCGATGTCAGAATGGGGGCACTTGCCAGGATGGACTGGGCACCTACACCTGCCTCTGTCCAGAGACCTGGACAGGTGAGTTGTTTAAGCCAAGTTTATGGCACCAGTGGCCCAGAGATTCGGCCTTTGGCCCTCCCTATTCACAGGGCTCCCAGCTTCAGCCCTTGTTCCCTCCCCACCCCCCACAGGCTGGGATTGCTCCAAAGATGTAGATGAATGTGAGGCCCAGGCTCCTCCTCGCTGCAGAAACGGGGGCACCTGCCAGAACTCAGCAGGCAGCTTTCATTGTGTGTGTGTGAGTGGCTGGGGAGGAGCGGGCTGCGAAGAGAACTTGGATGACTGTGTTGCTGCCACCTGTGCCCCAGGAGCCACCTGCATTGACCGTGTGGGCTCCTTCTCCTGCCTCTGCCCACCTGGACGCACAGGTGTGAGGGCAGAAGACATCAGGAGGTGGGAGGAAGAGAAGGAGGGTGGAAGAAGTACCAGGGGGCCGCTAGGAGCTTCAAGTGGCCTCTGAGAGCCTCGCCTCCTTCTGCCTCTCCAGGCCTCCTGTGCCACCTGGAAGACATGTGTCTGAGCCAGCCGTGCCACCAGGAGGCCCAGTGTAGCACCAACCCCCTGACGGGTTCCACGCTTTGCCTGTGTCAGCCAGGCTACTCAGGGCCCACCTGCCACGAGGACCTGGATGAGTGCCAAATGGGTGAGACACCCCCCACCCACATCAGAGCCCCTCGGAGCCCCAGACAGGCCTCTGCATCAAAGATAGAAAAGGACAGATGCTTTTCCAGTGAAAAAAAACAAGCATCAAGCCGGGCTCGGTGGCTCAGCCTGTAATCCCGCGCCTTTGGGAGGCTGAGGTGAGTGGATTGCATGAGTCCGCGGGTTCGAGACCCGCCTGGGCAGCGAGACCTCATCTCTACAATAAATCAAAAAATCAGCCGGGCGTGGTAGCGCATGCCTGTA